GTGACCTTGAAAGTAGGTCAAACTAATTTTCATTCTCAAACTTTGTTGGTCTCTATCCCAGGAAGCCACCAGCCAAATATAAAGATTCTATACCTTTCAGTTCTTCAGAAGAAGTCGTTTGAAGTGTTGGACACATTTGACCTTGAAAGTAGGTCAAGGTCATTTTCATTCTCAAACTTTGTTGGGCTCTATCCCAGGAAGTCATCAGCCAAATATGAAGATTCTATAGCTTTTAGTTCTTTAGAAGAAGTCTTTTGAAGTTTTTGACATATTTGACCCCTGTGACCTTGAAAACAGGTCAAGGTCATTTTCGTTCTCAAACTTTGTAGGGCCCCTACCAACAAAGCTTTCAGCCAATTATCATGACTCTAGGCCTGTCCGTTCTTCAGAAGAAGTTGTTTAAAGGAAAAGTTGACGGACGAGGACGGACGGAACGACGGACGCCGCGCCACGGCATAAGCTCACTTGGCACTTCGTGCCAGGTGAGCTAATAAAACAATTAAATGTTTTAAAATGCTGCCCGATTATCATGTTAGTCAATTTAAATGAACAACATAATATGAAATATAAATACAAATTGAACAGGAATCTGGGCACTTACAAGTCTGGCCTGAACAATTCTAGAAAGGAAACTTGGCACTTAAAAGTCTTGTCTGAACAAACTTTAACAGAAAACTGGGCACTTATCAGTCTTTCCTGAACAAACTTAAACAGGAAACTGGGCACTTATCAGTCTTGCCTGAATACATTTAAGCAGAAATCACTGGCACTTATAAGTCTGGCTTGACCAAACTTAAACAGAAAACAATGTGCACTTATAAAGTCTTGCCTGAATACACATAAACAGAAAACTGGGCACTTATCAGGCTGGTCTGAACAAACTTAAACTGAAACTAGAAACTTACAAACAGGAAGCTTGGCACTTATAGATCTGGCTTCACTAAACTTTAATTGAAAACTTTGCACCTACAAACAGAAACTTGAGCACCAATAAGTCTGGCCTGTACATGTTGTCAGTAAACGTGCTGTACATACTTGACGTTGGGACAGTCATCACAGACTTGCTGTTGTGTCATCTGGAAGCGCCCTGGACCAAGCTGTTGTGTGACCATCTCCATGCGACAGTTACACTTCCTTGTACCTTTAGCAGGCTTAGCTACAGGTTTATATCTGATTACCTGTTAATAGGTATACACAAAATATACATAACAGATCTATCTTTGGCAAGTGTACTTAGGCCATCCTTAAAATGTGTTTTGTTTGCAATTCCCTACTCGAACGTTTACAGTGGCTAGGTACATGTAGGTAGGAATCTTTTTTTATAGTGATTTTGTAACAAGAAAATAATTTACCAGAAGCATTAAATAAAAGTTTTGAGTAGGTGCCAATTTTAGCAAGTTGGTTAGGAAACAATCAAGTTTTAAGGATGGCCTTATTGCACCAAGACATAAACACATTCTGATGGAGCTACTACAGAACTAGGGCTGTCACGATACGCCAAGAGTGTATCACGATATATTGCAATACAGAATGAATATATTGCGATATGTATCCCGATATATTGCCATAGGAAAGATGTGCTCAAATTTTTAATAAGTTGTTGTCAGAATGTTATCAAACTTAATCATATTGAATATGGATCACATAGATTTAAGATTTTTGTCAAACCAACCATCGATTACAAAATTTGAATTATTTCCCACCACTATTAAAAGTTATGCTTATTGGCATATCTGTTAGAATTTGTAGTTATTTGCAAAGTTAAAACACCAAGCAGAATGAAATATATAAAAATAAGCTTTCAAAAATATTGAGGTACAGGAATATTTCATTTCTGTATTGTTGTACGATACGATATACCTGTGTATTGCGATATACTTGTTTTCCGATATATTGTGACAGCCCTATACAGAACACTGAAATATGTATGAAACAGGTGTATCTTTGGCATGTTTGGCCGTCACAAAAAGAAACACATCCCAATTAAACTGATGCTTTAGAACCCTAAAACACTGGTCCTTCAAGTATGAAATCAAATCAGTAATTAACTTACACACTTACCTAAACCTACAACTATAACTGAACATACACATACATCTAAACATATATATTAACATGTTTGACTTAGGATTTACATTAGTTATCTCCCTTTGGAGTTCATTCAAAGGCCCAGTTGTTCATTGCACCTTTAATAACAAAACCAAAAATCAACAAAAATTGCATTTTTGATTTCACCAATTAAAAACTGGGTCAGTAGGTAGCAGAATATTTATCTTTTATTAAACATTTTACAGTATAGACAGAAATATTTCACTGTAACAGTGCTTGTCTAAAACTGGCTCCAAAACTTAGGGGTAGATTTAAAAAAAAAAAAAAAAAACAGGGTGTACATAGAAACCAGAAATGCACAGGTTTTTTAAGGTCTAATATTAATATGAATTATTATTCAAACCTCAACAAAATTTCCAGTGTACAATTCCTCTAATGAGACTTCCAGGTCCATGATAACATCTCCTCCTCTGGGAACTTCCCGATCCTGTGATCTTGAGTTTCCAAAAAATGGGCTGAATCCTCCAAAAAAACTGTTAGGAAATGACAAATGCAATTAAAGATACAATATCAAAATCTCTATAATCAGTATTGTCAAAATCAAGGGAGAAACAATTTAAATGTATCACCAGTGTGATTATTGGAATTTGATCTTTTAGAAATTGAAATCTGGTGCTGGAACTCAGACTGACAGGCCCCTTGTAACAAAGCTAGGTCAGTCGAGACATCTTTTCCTGCACAAGTCACCATAGATTTTCTCATAGATTTAATTAATACAATTATTAAAATTTGCATTGTAAATCACATGATGTCACTGATTTTGCTGAGCTTGGAAATATTTTTAGAGGCAAATTTTCCCATGTTCTGTATTAATCTGGATCATTACATACAAATGTACAACAAGATGGTCAGATGGCAAAGTGGATAGTACCAGCTTTTGTCATGACAGTGAACACTTCCATCCCAGCCAACGAGTGATCAATATAAGTTCAAACATTTTTTTTCCTTATTGTTGTAATCAAAATAAACAAAGTTTATTTATTTATATATCTTGCATACTAAACGATATGTATATTAGTATGGTTAATTATACAGAGAAAAATGATGTTTTATGAAAACATGATATAACATGTGACATTAACAGGAATCGTTGGTATTATTGTTGTATCTATGGTTTTATTGTTGTATCTATGGTATTATTGTTGTATCTATGGTTTTATTGTTGTATCTATGGTTTTATTGCTGTATCTATGGTTTTATTGTTGTATCTATAACCTTTCAAACGGGTCTCCTGATACATCTCCTTTCTTCAGCCCCTCTTCTCCATGTTTGTCATAAATCTTCCTCTTCTCATTATCCGATAAAACCTGCAACAGACAAAGTAATTTACTGACAAATACTCTGACTGGTTCACATTATTTCCAGATAATTATCTTCAGTGGTGTAAAAATTCAATTTAAGAGTAAATATCGAAAAATTTTCACTTGCATAAATTACAAAAATCAATCAGCCCTAGGCATTGGACTGATGGATCTTTGTACAGCTGTGTTCCTTCTATTTTTGCATTGAAACACATTTAGCTTTCATCGTTTAATAATTTTAATGCTTAAGTAATTGAAATTTTGTCACCCTTGCAAAATTTTAATTGTAATGGTTTCCTATGAAACCATATAGATTATTAAAAACTGTACCAGAAAAAAAATAATACTATCAAGTTCAAAGTAAATTATCCCTATTTTTTCACAAATAATTTCAATTCTTTACATAATATTTTACATGGAATTTGTGCCAAAAAAATCTTGTTAAAAATGATTATTGTTAAAAGATCTTCATCAAGCTAGGTAAAACACTGAAATACTTTACTAATGCTTACTGATCCTGATATTGACTTGTAAACAAAATTGTTTCTTTTACAATTATATAATACTAGGAACACTTGTACTGACCTCATATGCAGCACCTAAATTTTGGAATCTTTCATTGGCCTCAGGATCATCTTGGTTTTTATCAGGATGCATTTCCTTAGCTAACTTTCTGTAGGCTTTTTTAATTTCATTTTTTGTTGCTGATTTTCGAACTCCCAATATATTGTAAAAATCTCTTCTGCAAAAAACAAATTACATGTTTTAAAACAAAGTTAGTTTTATGTAAAATATGTAGTTATTAAAACGTTATGACTGACACAATATATCTTAAACAGATGGCTATTTAAAAGGGCATATCTTGACTGTTATGTGTCATAAAGTTTTGTTCATAATGTTATTGTAGACAATGGGTAAATGATAATTTGGCAATCTAAAGACACGCTGAATATGTGTCAAGCTTTTGTTCGTTTGTGTTTTACGTCCTATTAACAGATATGGTCATTTAAAGACATGTAAGGTTTGGTGGTGGAGACAAGCCGGGAGTTCCCAGAGAAAAACCACCGACCGACAGCCAGTACCTGGCGACTTCCCCAGGTAGGCCTCAAACCCATGACACAGTGGTAGAGGGCTAGTGGTAGCAGAATATCAGACGCTTTAACCACTGCGGCCCTGCACTAGCTTTTGTTCCCAATCAATGCATTCATTTGTCTCGGGAAATGTACACCCAAGGTTTTCTCCACAGTTGAGATAGTTTAAATTTTGTCTATGTAAGTTAACACTATCCCATTGCCCCAATTTGAAATGGTTCTTTCGAGCAACAAAATAAGTGGAATTATAAGCATTAATTTAAGAACTTCATGCCAAGAATGTAGGACTTTATGCTTTCCAGTTATATAAAATATTCATAAGGGAATCTTCACTGATTGACGAATTTTTAGAAATGATAGGTGGAAACAACTATTAATCCAAAATGTGTAACCTCTGCAATATATAAATAATAATAATAATAATACCACACTTTAAGGCATTTGGGTAACACAATTTCGATTTTTGACTTAGTTTTCTGTTAATTTTGTTTTTTTAAGTGTCATAACAACATTGCAGCAAATTGTTTCATTTTGATGATATCACACTTTGACACATTTATATCTGAAGTTGTTACATTTACAAACGGTCAAAACGGTTGTTCCGCATTAACGAACAAGACCTAACTAACGACGTGACGTTATATACCGTTTCTTGATTGTTATCTGACGCTGCTCTATCTATAGAATAAACAAAAATCATCAAATTCTCTTAAAAAACACGTTAGAAATTGTGGACAGGTGTCACTTGATTTACCAAATCGATATATTTTAAGTTTCTTAATATTTCTTTTTCGACCAATGAGAGGTTTCCACGCCTACAAAAAGCCGTCTGCTACGAAAACCGGCTTGACAGGAAACAGGAATCGTTGTAATTAAGGGTATTGATCAACACGCCAGATAACTAATTTTCTTTCAAAATGTCCACTGATACTAATAATAGTACACAGCGCATCGGTGACACTTACCCTGCCATAATTTGGAGGAAACAAATAAATATACTCAGAGCAAATAGACTCCATGCTGCTAGCGACGCCATTGTTGTTATAGAATGAAACTTCCACTTCCGGTCTATTTTTATAACAAAAAAATACATAAATGAAATAAAAAAAAACTTTTAGTTTCTAAATGATATTTAATATAAAGCCTCGTTTTTATCACCTCAGTCAATAACTACGTACATTTAAATATCGAAATTCTTTCTTTTCAGAGAGTACGCAAAACAAAGATGGATTCTGACAACTTCCGGTAAAGCGTCTAGAAATTATATCCAGAGTTCAAGTGAATATTTCTTTCGTTTTCTGATAGTTTATTGCCTATTATTAGGTTTGCTGTTACTTTATATATCTTACATCAAGTCTGCGACAAAAAGAAGAGAAAATGATGGAATCAGAAGGTAATGATTTATACCATATATATATTGTTTAGAAGCTATTTCCAAGGTGCTTTCTGAATTTCACACTAGGCTATTTACTGTCAGTTCCCACTCTGGCGTCGAAAACCCCAGGTTGGGATTGATGTATCACCAGAACCATAAACAGAAACGTAGAAGAAAACATGGAAACGGTTGAGGTATGGACTTGGCTTGTCTTGGGAGGGTTTAAGCTATACCCAAATAGAGTTGCTTGAACATATCATCTATAAGCACATCATGAACCATTTGGAAAGGAACAGGATCCTAACATCATTTAACCACGTCTTTGGATCAGGCTATTCCTGCAAGACACAGCTAGTTACCACCGTCCTTGACCTCATGAGGCAGTATGACACGGTGCCCAGATTGAGCCTTTTTTGGACTTTTCGAAGGCCTTTGACACAGTCCCCCACAACAAACTACTCCATAAAATGAACAATATGAAGGTGTTGGTCAACGGTGAAGAGTCCAACTCAGTCCACGTGGCCCCTGGAGTCCCACAGGGAACGATACTTGGCCAGATACTGTTTCTGTTCCATTATAATATATATAATGACCGTTCCGACTCGGTCAAATCTACAGTTTGCCTCTTTGCTGATGCCTGCCTACTGAACAGGTGCATCCAGAACATGAGAGACCACCTACAACTCCAAAAGAACATGGCTGAAGCAAGCGCAGGAATCCCAAAATCTCTGAGTCACCCTCTCTGAAGATCTTAGATTTGGTCCATACATCAATTCACCAAGCTTCATATAAAAAAAACAGCGTTCCTTTCCCTAGTTTGATCAACTGTAGAGTACATAGCTCTTTGGTCCTGGACCCCTATCTCGGCAAAGACATTGACCGGCTAGATCGCATACAACACCTGGCGACCTGAATTAGCTCAAGAGATCACACCTCCTGGGAATCAGATTGTGTCACCCAGATGCTCCAGGACCTGGGCCTGCCCCCACTTCAAGAGAAAAGGAAGCAGAACAGGCTAGCATTCTTTTATAAAGTGGTTGAGGGGCTGGTGCCAGCCATGTACTGTCAGGAATATTTGATACCGGTACTTATCTGAGGGAAACGGAACATTAGAGCCAAATGGTTTACAGACTGTGTCACACACAAAAATACAGAAAACCAAGAAACCAACAACTCTAGGTGCTTTAAAACTACAAACTGTAACACACCTGTTTTTAAAAATAATTCTTTCCCAAAACAATCATTGACTAGAATCAGCTTCCAGCCAACATTGTGCGTGCAGAGTCACTCAAGGGTTTTAGGTTAGCCCTGCAACTACACGACTAAGCGCCTCTAGCACTCCATCTCTCTCCCGATGTGTGTATGTCCTACATCGTATCTAGATCCAGACTGTGATCTCACTGCTTAAATACTGGCATAGTGTAGATAATAATGAACCTTATCAAAACTTAAATTAAAGCTTTTGTAAAATCCACCACCAGTAAATCTCCTTGTTTTCCCCTGTATATGCTACAGTGCCTGAAATGAGGGCCAGACGAAGGCTGGCTCAAGAAAAAGGTTTTTTGATGAGTAAAAAATTGGTGGCCCATGGAGCACCTGGCCCAAATGACAAGTTGGTGGCCCATATAATTTTAGGAAGAAATATTTCCACAGCATTTAACACAATGATTCGGCACATTTAAAAATTACGTATAACATGACAATGTTTGTTATATGTAAAACAGAATAAAACATTATATTTTCAATTCTTCAACCCTAGTTTAAACCTGACATGATCCACTCCATTCATGTCTTTAGTATAATTTCCTAAAGAAATACGCAAAACTCGCACATCAAAGAAGACACAGGTACCCCGACCATATTTTTACGGAGCATAAAAGAGATTGGCAAACTTGGACTGAAAAAAATCATCACATTTTCTAATATTTACTGCTCATAATAAACCATAATCACGAACAGTTTGATTCGTATCGACGTAATGACAACTGAAAAACATACTGTCCCCCAGTTAATGTGAAAGTGACTATAGTTTATTTTATCCTCAGATTTTTCGATAGTCGCCCAATTTTTTGTTTGTTGGGCCAGTGACTACCTCACTTTTGACAGCTTTTGGTTGCCCGAGCAAGACTTTCATCATCGACGGTGAGTGGGCGACCGTCTATTTCAGGCACTGATGCTAGAAGAAACATCATCTATAAAGTTCACAGGACCGAAATCTCCTCTGCTCGTTCTTTTAAGAATTTTGGTTTGATTTCATCTTGGCCAGCAACTTAACTAGGTTTAAGGTTTTGGAGCAGTTTTATAACACCGTTGTTTTTGTATATCAAAGGGAGGCATGACATTGAGCTGTAGATGGAATATTATACTAAATAATCAGTTAAGACTTTGTTGCAATACATGGACCATCCTAGTTACTGCTTACAAGAGTGTAGCATAAAACATTTATCTTAAGAGAAAATACATAAAATCTAATTTTGGATTTTAAAAATATCTTAGTCTTGCTATTTGTTAAATATCCAACTTGGAGAAAACAGAAGGAAAGACATCCAGGAATTTTAAAACATAACTCAAACATCTACAAGATGATATAATTTCTGAAAGTTGTTGGTCAGTTATACAGCTTCTGCCATCTAAATACTGAGCACTTATGTCCAGTTCAGATATTGATTAATTAGATGACAAAGCTGCTATGGATCAATATATATACTGGTGGTACAGTGACCAATGCAATCTTGCAGAATTAAGTTTTATAAAATAACTGATATTTAATTAAACCTTGGAGTTGTATAGAGAGACTTTTATGTTTCTAGTGAGAATATGATCAAATATATATGAGGTATGTCACCAGATTTAAGTTAGAAATAGAATTTTTTTAAAGTATCTTATACAATATCTTTTTCAGACATCAAAACCAAAATGAAATATATAGACTTTATTATTTTACAACAAATATTAATTTAAACATGCTTTCAACTTACATTACCGGTAATCAATCATGTTGCCCCAGATTACTGGTAATAAATATATAATCACTCCATGTTTAAAGATGAGAACACCAAAAGGAAATCCACGTGGTCAGGCAGGTGACCACAGACAATTTCACATCCGATCAAGGAATTGAACCCTTGTCAGATGTGATAGTGCTATTCACTGCACCACTTGACCACCCGGTTGGGCTGATCTAGGTTCAGGGGAAATCCTGGAATCCTGGAATTTGAGAGCAGTGGGCCATTCTATGTGAAAAGGAAAAGAAAATTGGTCCCATGGCCTCCTCCAGGATTATACCCGAGATTAAAATATATAAACCGCTTACAACTGTTTGTTGACCTGTTACCTTATTAGGACAAATATCAATACTGTATTCTGTATGCCACAGTATTGAACCTGATCTAGTTGATTCTTTGTAGCTCTATAAGAGGTATGTCACTGTGATAAACCATCTAGTTGCTTGTTACTGACTCCACAAGAGGAATGTCACAATAATAAATCATTAAGTCACATGTATTAGGACTGCTTGAGGGAAGGTCACAGTGGTGACATCCAATTAATAATATTACTTTTATATCACTGTATTTTAATACACACAAACATTATCAGGCCTTAACTTAGTCATCGACTGATTAAAATATTTTTGTATATGATTGTTTCAGAATTGGACCTGGACAAGTCCCATTCTTTACATGAGGATATGAGTCTACAGCAACCAGTCTCCTCCCCTGGAGTTTCCCCCAGAATTGGACTACTACCCTTCAACAGTCCCGGAGCCTTGGTTACGCCCAGATCCAGTCGGTCTGTCGCCTCACGAGTCACCCAGATGGAGGTTCAACAGCGGAGAAGCTCATCTAGGTCAATCAAACGTAAAAAGTTTGATGATGAAGTGGTAGAGAGCAGTCTTATAAAAACTGAGCGAGGCCGGATGAAACTTCCACCTCCTCCTCCTCCTCCCCTACCTTATGTGGAGAAAGAGAAACCAGAGCCTGTTGAAAAGGAAATACCAGTGGTGCCACCTCCTGAGAAGAAAAAAGTCATAGTGACACCACATCCAGAGAAGAAGAAAGTCAAAATTGTAAGTGGTCGAAAAATATTGATAATTCTAATCAAGTTTGTTTTCCTTCAAAACCTTCGAAAGGTAAATTCAACCTCATTATAACCAAAATGATGAAGGAACGAAAACACTAATGTTGTATGGGGACAGATGAGTTCATGTAAGAGAATGACAGTTAAAATAGTGGGTGGAAATCTTTGGACTTTGATTAATGAATGATGTAATTGTTAACCTTTTCACCACTGTAGACCATAATGGACTCATCCAGATCAAAGCATGGTAGAGTCTACTAAAGTTACGTAGGGTGAAAGGGTTAAAACACAAATCATTATATTGAGTTTTCAACCACCTTTCTAAAAAACAGGAACCCTGTTCTGTGTTATCTACATTTGTTCAAGGTTGTATAATTCCATGAGCCAGAACCCTTGGCTAGTAGATGTTATATTGGTGCTAGAGACTTTTTCAGTATTTACTATGAGACTATAGGTCAGGCTTTTATAAACTTTTAAAAACTCAACTTGTGGGCTAGTAATCTAAATATGAAATTGTATACCGGCCGTCTTCATACAAGCACACTTTGAGCTATCTACCGTCGTTAATGTAGGTTTTTCTATATTGAATTATCTCCCTTTGCAAGGACACAAATATATTTATTGAGTCACTATATTAAGTTATCTACCTTTGTTTGAATGTGAATATCTATATGAGTTCATCAACCTTTTTAAACATATATATATATCAGTTTTGAGCTATCAACAAAAACTCACATAGTGAATAGTGGAATTGAAATTGAAAATTGGTGCTGTTGATTACATGTTTGATGAGTTTGTAACAATTGTATCATTACACAGATATCTAGAACATAATTACAAGACAGTATTATGAACACACAAAAATCTAATATGACAGTAACACTGTATATTGAAAATGTATCATTTGTAGAAAGAAAAAAACTGTTGCTATGAGCATGTAGAAATATAGATGTCTTAAAATAAATCACGTTGTCGGAATATACTCGTCAAACGTTTAAAAATCCGGATATCGGCGAGAAGATTAGTTATAACAGGGTTACCAGTGTAGGAATATACATGTATTGAAATAATTCTCTTGCACTGCTCTTTCATCAGGTTATACTGAATGGATCTCTATACCTTCACTTAGTCACAATTCAGTACAACAGTTAAGTTTGGACTATAATAACACTATAGGTTTTGCTATTAGTGAAAACACTATTTTGATGATTTTGTTATGCTCCCTGAAAATTTTCGAGTAACCATATAGTTGCCGCTTTGTCATCCGTGCTTTTCATGTCTGGAGCATAACTTTATCCACATTTAAGCTAGGATCATGAAACTCAGTGTGTACATCAGTCATACTAAGGCGATGTGTACTGTACCAAATTAAGGACCCACTTATTTACAGAGTTATTGCCCTTTGTTGCCCTGTGTCCAGAGCAAAACTTTGCCCGCATTTAAGATAGGATCATGAAACTTTCACTTGGAATGTACATTAGTCATACAATGTACCAAGGCAATGTGCATGGTACCAAATTCAGGGCCAACAACCCCTTAATAACAGAGTTATTGCCCTTTCCTATAATGTCGTGTCCGGAGCATAACTTTGCCTGCAGTTAATTTAGGATCATGAATCTTGGTGTGTACATCAGTCACACTAAGGTGATGTGTGCACTGTATATATTTGTACAGTATTCAGGGTCTGCAGCCCCCTTAATAATATAGTTATCGCCCTTTGCTAAAATATCAGACACATGTGTATATATGTTAAACCATTATTTTTCTTCCTCCAAACGCCCCATTCCAACATATTTTTACCAATATGTGTCATAAATCTAACCAAAATTCAAAATTCACAACAGGAAAAGCCTCCAATCAAGTCATTTTAGTGGAGCACATACAGTTCCACTACTACTCTTGATTTTGTGGTGATCAATGTACCATTACAGTACAGTAGTATTACAACTAGTGTGATCCCTCCGTGTTTTACTGTAAACTACATGTCATTCTAGTACTCCCTCCCGTGTACAGTTATAACTTAGAAACATTTATGCCTGAAAAGTTCAACATTCTTGATATTGCTGTTTTGTAAGTACAGTCAGTGTGTTCTGTCTGACGACCATGCGACCACATAATTTTACTGGTTTGCAGACAGTCCCAGATCTTAAAACCAGGCTTGTTAAACAGTGTCATTGTCAGGACCAAATTCTTTGTCTGGTTCAGATGATGCATGATTGACCATGCAATGCAAATAAACGTTGAAAAGTATCTTAATAAATTTCAAGCTTAAACTTAACATGTTTATAGATCTCTGAAAATTTTGAATACATCAAGTAAAAAAATTGTGTCATTTACATATTGCATCTTTGTTTTGGATATATTTGCAGTCATCAAAATCCCATTCTTCATCCTCCTCATCAAAACGAGCTAAACGTCAAAAGGTAAGTATGGATTTACAACTTAGTCTTAAAAAAAAATCATTGTTTAAAATTATGAATATTCTCCTTGAAATCATTGGAACTTATGTCATTAGAATCATGTCAAAGTCAATAAGCAAAGAATGACAGGGAGCATTCTGCTCTCCTTGCAGATTACAGAAAATAAAAATTCCAAACAATTTACAAAGCATTCCTGGGATTGACCAAGAGAAATGTTGGCCTTGAAACATTGCGACACATTTAATATGTACATTGTTTGTGTATAAAGTAAAACTTTGATATTACATATTTCCAAACTGCATGATTAATTTTATTGAAGATGCCTGTTATTTTCTTTACTGTTCTATAATTTGTTCAATAAAAAGTTGAAATGATAACATACTTAAGATAAATTCTGTAATGAAAACTATCTATTATTTCATTCATATATGTTTTCAAATGTTTTAAATCAAATTTTGTTTCTTTGGAAAGCCACCAGCTCCAGCTTCTACCAAAGATCTGGGTCGATGGAAACCTCAGGACGATCTCGCACTGATAACAGCAATACAGCAGGTATGTCAAACACTCACCAGACCCAGTCAAAATGGAGTTAATTGGGCCACCAGCTTTTACATTTTTCACTGGCCTGGTTTCTTGAAAAATTGAAAAATGCCACAAGTTTCATCAATATTCTATCCATTTGAATATATTTTATTTGTTCCTTCCTAATTGCCATAAGTTTCACCAAGATTCTGACTGTTTAAATGTGAGTGTAAATAAATCTAGGAAGGAACTGAAAAAGCATCTCAATATGATTTAATCATATTGAGATGCTTTTTTCAGTTCCTTCCTATATGCCGCAAGTTTTATTAATAGATGGTCTTTTAGATCTAGTTATTCAAGAGATGAGAACAGATTTTGCAGAATGCTCCATGGTTAAAACATATTTTTTATTCCATATTTGCTACAAACTTAAGTTTCATCAATATGACATATTTTTTTATGTTAACATTTAAGTTTCTCAACAGATTTCTGAAATAGCAATGTTGGGTATGATTAAAAACAGCTGATGTTTTTCCATGGATGCTCAAAATTTCAACAATATATCCAATCTGTTGCTAGGATCAGACTAGAGGGTGTTTACTTCCGTATGTGCATTATGAGTGAATACATATGACCATATGATAACTTTGTGATAGAACATAAATTATGTTTGATATGTATGTAGTGGAATGAAATCATGTCAGTGTGTATTGTACTAATGTAGAATGAACTCACAACACTGTTTATATTTGATGTCATAAAAGGCATTAACAGTTATACAGATAGGAGTAAAGGGGAGTACATACATTGTGTACATATGTCTATGTACCTTGGAGGGGAGCAAAACGGCACCGTCTTAACAGGAAATAAAAGCTTTGGGACACAACATTTAAACTTAATGGTAGACCCACATGCACAGACAATCACCATGAAAAACACAGCAGGGCTACTTGAGTCATTTATCTTGTAGACCAGATGACTATGTAGGAATTTCCTATAATTGGTAATACAGGTATTATTCAGGGACAAGTGTATACATGTAGTAGTACGGGAATAAAGTGACCTGAAATAACTTTTCTTCCTTTGGATTGGATGGTAATAATGAAATGTATATAAAATGTGTACAGACACAGGAACCATACACTCTGTACACTCTGTAAAATATAGACAGAATATTGTTACAAATTCCAGGTATTGATATTTTTGAAGTAAACATGCATGCGAGTGGATTGGGGAAAAGATGCCAGCAGTTACAGATGGTTTCACTACTTGGGAAAAAAATACATGAGAATTTGAAACTGTGTTGTGTTTTATTTTAAATTTCATTTTCATTGCAGCTGTTTCCTTTATAAGAAACATTGCACAGTATAATGTACATGTACAATTGCAATGTAATGTATTACAAAATGGAAAATCTTCAGAATTTTACCAGAATACTCTGTGAACTGTTAGCATTGCAATTTATTCATTCAAAATATGTGGTTTACACTGTGTTAATGCTGGCACTATCGTTATGTCCCACACTCATTAAGTCTGTCTGGAAAACATACATGTTCTTTATTTGAATACAATTATGCATTTCTGGTGTACTATTTAAATGTGTCCCCTTCAGACTAGAATTAGGATCATGGCTGACGATGTAAAATCTTAATCTGAACTACATATTGTTTGATATTAAAATTTTGAAGTATTAACACTCTTTTGTGGATTTAATATCATATTAAATATTGCTCAATGTCTCATTCTTAGATGATTTATTTCTGTCTTTTAAAGAAATATCTGCGAAGATGATTATATGATATCCATATGTATAAGCTTACAATTCAAAACATTATTTAATTTGTACTTTGTACCCATCACACCTTTTTGGATGCCAACATTTAATTTGTATTTTGTTCCCATCACACCTTTTTGGCTGCCAACATTTAATTTGTATTTTGTACCCATCAAACCTTTTTGGATGTCAACATTTAATTTGTACTTTGTACCCTTCACACCTTTTTGGATGCCACCATTTAATTTGTACTTTGTACCTATCACACCTTTTTGGATGCCACCATTTAATTTGTACTTTGTACCCACCACACCTTTTTGGATGCCACCATTTAATTTGTACTTTGTGCCCATCACACCTTTTTGGATGCCACCATTTAATTTGTACTTTGTACCCATCACACCTTTTTGGATGCCAACATTTGCAATAAACATGCTAAAATTATGTGATAGAGATGCATGCATCAGAAAGCCGAAAATTAATTATGCATCAAAGTTCAAAAGGCACTTCTAGTTCANAGGGGGGGGGGGGGGGGAATAAAAAATAAATAATAACTTAATAACGTATTTTAATTAATTCCTTTTACGTAACATGTGATGTGATGTGTTACACTGTAAAAAAATATTGATTGATTGATAAAATTGAATAACTAGTATCTTTAGTATAGAATGACATTATATACATAAATAATTCAATTTTAAAGTTTTACTTTATACACAAACAATGTACATATTAAACATTGTACATTGTTTGTGTATAAAGTAAAACTTTGATAATACATATTTCCAAACTGATGACTCGTATTGAAGATGCATGCATGATTTAATTGGAAAATGTTTAAGATAAGTGAAATAATTAACTTACTTGACATTTATTAGCACTGTTACATTATTTATGATCCATAAATTATCTGACTTGTGAAGAAACATGCCTTATAGATATAAAATGTTACATTTACTTAGAACCCCCCAGCTTAATTTAATTTTAAAGTTGTTTATTTGGGTATATTTCATTCCAAAAAAACTCCATTTGAAATTTTATACCCTTTCAGTATAATAAGCCATACATTTCATTCATTTGGTCAGGTCTACTACCTGATAAAGGGGGTTCAGGTGGAGTTGACTAATGGTGAGGAAGCCATACACCTAGGCATCCAGTTATCTATAGGTAATTAGGAGACTAGCGAGTTCACTTGGTAGTTGGGCACAGGTAAATTAATGTCAGGTAGCAGGGTCCAGGTGACAATGATACAGGTAGCTATTGTTCTGGCCCCAGGTACAGACTCCCAGTCTCTTTGGTAATTACAGGTATATCACAGGTAAATAACAGGTAAATCACACAGGTAAGGTGGTCAGTTGTGATTGACAAGGTGTGAAACTCTCACTACATCACTGGAAGCTGTATCATTTTTGAAAAGCTGTTTGAAGAGACAAGATGCAGGTTTTGTTGTTCATATCATGAGTGTTCTGAAGAACTGGATATTGCTGGTAAGGAATTTAAATGATGAGATGTACAGACTTATCATACCTGTCACCTACAAGTCTTTTTTCATTGAGTTAAAAATTAAAATCAAAGAAAAAATTGTGAAATTACAATTTTCATAAAGTATCTCTGAAAATATTTTGAGTATTTTGTAGTGCGATATAGGTTTCAATATTAAGAAATTGAGATAATCAATAAATTCATGATATGTGAAATCTTTATATAGCTGTTAATATATGTTAGAAGAAGGAATTTCTGGGTGACAGGTATGATGATAGCTCTGTTTTTCACTGCAAACTTTTACCTAATTTAGATTCTTGTATTTATGTAAATTTTAAAAGTAAGTACTTTGTAGATTAATTCATTTAGATTACATGGTACATAATTTTGTAAAACATATTTTTCATGAAATATGGGCAAATCAATGGAATCAACATCCCCCATGTTTGATGTTGGAACTTACTTTAATTTTAAAATGCATTGTTGTTATACAATCAGTACTTTGACCCCTTTTAAATATGTGATGGGTCAGTCAAAGTAAGCGTCCTTATGCCAAATAGACTGAACAGAGAGTTGATTTATTCTGAAAGCTACACAAATACACACACCAACAAATGTAAAATATGCTGTAAAAAAAACAAATTTTCTTCTGCATTGACAACCCAAATTACCCCTCCAAGAGGAGACAACTATAGTTGTAAAGTTCATTTCCCACATGATTTCAGCGAAATGCCGAAAAATTTGGTTTAAAAAAAGAAATCATGTTAGAACATGGAATGGGTATACTAAAGTGATCGTATGTCTGTTCACTCTTTGTCTGTCTGATAAAATTATAACTTTCAGTTAAAATAGATTTTAATAAATAAAAAAAACAATGAAATTGTCGTCCTTACATTTTTCTGGAGTATAATTCATAAATACATATTGAAATTCATCATTTCTGTAATTTTGACATAAAAGGTAAAAACTCTATTATGATGTTTTTTTCTTCTGAATTCTTGTATCTTTGTTCCCCTATTGATTCAACTAGAGAAACTGTAAGCAAGCTCACAAAGATATATGTCCGGCTTGCACTTACTATGATTTATGGGCAGAAATTAAAGTTTCAAGGGCCGTAACGGCCGTAACTTGAGGAAAAAAAGTTGCATTAAAAATTCCTTCTTTTTTCTCTGCACATTAACATATGATGTACTTTCAATGTGTTAGGTTACAAAAAGTTTCAATACATGGTACAGGAGAAGTTGTGCTTTAAGGATCAGAGACAGAAAGACGGACAATGTTTGTGTGTGGGCGGGTGGGGTGCGTGGTATGTGTTTAAGTATGTATACAGGGCTGTTATTCAGTGTTAAAGAGCTTTCTTTTTCCCGAGGTAGAAATTGATTGATATTAATATTATACACCATTTCCATATTGAATTTTAAATGTATCTTACTCCTGACGAAATATTTCAAGGAGGATGTATGATAGAAAATTCATGAAGGTCACTGACAATCATCTAAAGTTCAAGTCTTTCAACTTGAAACAGCACCACCCCTTCTATGCATATAAGTGTAGTTTGGTATTGTTTCAAATCTTCCTCTACTATACCAAAATCATAAAACCAGCTCTCCCTAATTCATTCCTTCATCTTTCTTTCTCTTTTGTCATTGCTACCCTTTACCTCCCACCCCAAAGCTCCATGTACATATGTACCACTCACCCACCCAAATCAATTTCTCCATGCCAAGCTGTGGCTACCCCAGAGTTTTCTGTCTCTTGATATCTACCCTCCCATATATTAACATGTTCATTCCTTCACTGGGTTCTACCTTAAATTTTCAACTTTTATTAAATTCTCTTGTTTACCTGAAATCTCAATTCTCTCCTCATTTATCCTGTAAGCTCTCCCCTCCCGTAAGCTCTCCTTATATCAAGTGTCTGCTCTCAAATGTCTTTCCTCTACAGTTGTCCTCTTCTCTAGTTCTCCATATATCCCTTAGATACCCAGTCATAATCAAAACTACACCCTTTCTCAAGAATCACTAAAACATTCTCCTTTCACTCCTGTCTGTCTGATTTCCCACCGTCTTCATTCTTGAAGCTATATACCGGTGCCCGTCATCAAATACCTCCCCTCATTTTGAGAGGTCTTAGACATGCCAGCCCCGTTTCCAATCATGTGTCTGTCTCCTAAATACTGCTTGCTCTTACATGACGAACGTACGCTAAAACGAAAGTGAAAGTTGCGCCGGTACATCAAACCAAACTTTTTAACGACCAGTGAAACTTTGATAACTCAGTTCAGTATTATTTTGCATTTGTAAGGAAGTAACAGCATTTCATTTCAATAAGAAACACGGTTCCAAGAAAGTTTCCGTTATTGACACAAAAACAAGTATTTTCGTAAACGGCCAATTACGGAAACAATCGATATTCACAGAAATAATAAAAATCAAATAAATACATATTAGCAAAAGTACGTATTCAGATAACTTCGTTTGAAGAATAGATTTGTTGAAAAAATATAAATAACGGTATATGGTGGGTGTTTGAGAAATGGCGGGATATCTAATTACGGCAAGATCAGAGAACGCACGTGATTTTCGGACCATCCGAGGTCAGTGGGTTAATATGTGTGATGAAATCTGCGAGCGCATGTGATGTCGAATTGTCGTCTGCACGAACAACACAATGCATAGACACATAGGTATGTTGTTGAAGTTGATAAAAAGTGGAACAGTCGTAAGTATTTTCGTTACTTGGCGTGGAACATTAATTAATGTTATTATGAATATCTATTAAGATTAGGAATAGGATTAGATTTAGATCAAGAATAAATATGATGTAATCGTCTACCTGTACAGTTTGTTGACAACCCGATCAAATTTGTAGCACTACCAACAGTGGCATTGATGACATAGTAATACATACAAAATAAAATATAAAAAATTAAGACACGACATGTTAATAATACATGTAAATATTATAACTGCTACTTTGTAAAAAAAATATCTTTAATTAAATAATTAAGCTTTCAAATATTCAGGTTTTGAACCATAAACTTAAATTTACCTACAAATTTATTTCATTTTTTTTTTCAACTACAAAGAGAGGAATTTTAATTAAGTATGAAAACATATTACATATTTATTCACCCATTGTTTTGTTAAATACATCATACAACTGTACAAGTTATATTAAGTGTGCAAAAAGATCTTAATAGTAGGTTACAGAACATGACTTAATCTTGCAAATATATTCAGCTTGCTTTTTTTTTTTTAACTTTTTATGGCTCATGCTTTTGGAAAAGGACATTTTCAACAAAAAAATGAACTAAATAGCTAAATGTTTCAAGAATTCAAACAACTTGAGCATATTAATAAGGTTAAAATAACTATTATTTTGAGATGGAAACTAGAGCATTTTATATGAATTGTGATATTCCCTGTCACGTACAAAATTTCATTAGATCCTGCAGATGATTTTAATTGATAAATTGATTTATTAAATTTTGAATGTGGCTTTCATCTTGAATTATAAGGATTTTTCAATCGATAAAATTACTTGCTATTCTAATGTTTAGAAACGGTTTCACAAACTAAATTGTAATAACTTTGTACCGTTTTGGCGATTTCTTCACTTCAAGACTTGTTATTTGTGCTTATGAAAATATTACAATTATACTTTTTGATAAAAAATATATAAAATTTAGTGGAAAACTATTTAATACATTGAATTTTCTACAAGTTGCTGTCTTGTTTTTTTCACAAACAATTACGTACATTGGATTTTCCTGTATTCAATGCATACTTTTCATTATTAAAAGTCTTGATATAGTGGTGTCGGGATAAATCTAATTCAACAGGTGCTCACCTTCATTAAATTTGATTGTCAGGGAAAACAAATAAACCCAGATAATAATTTTCTAAAATTAGATCTGTGTCAATCAAAGTATAATAGTTTCCTAGAAATGATTCACATTTATATTGTATATCATTATCAATAGTAACGAAAAAGATAGGATCCCAAAACATACACAAGATGCTCATCAGTTTTTCTAGAGTAAACATAAAAGATTCCAGAGCACATATAAGATACTCATCAGTTTTTAGCTCTCCAGCATCCGTCCAACAACAATTTCTTTAAACCACTTCTTCTTAAACACTGATTGGAATTTAACTAAATTTGACTGGAAGCATCCCTAGGTGGTGGGGATTAAAAATTGTACAAATGGTGGGGCCGACACCCCATGGGGCTGAGGGGCGGGGCAAAAAGGGGGCAATTTGGCTATATTGCATCAAACGACCTCTTCTGTAGAACTGTGCACTGGATATCAATCATATTTAATCAAAAGCATTTATGGGATGCAGGGATTCAAAATTGTACAAATGGTGGGACTGACTCCCCGGGCTAAGGGGTGGGGTTAAAAAAAAAGAAAAGTTTTTTACTTGGAAATGGTTGAGCTCCCCACCATAAAACCATATAAACAATTGCCAAGTATAAAGAGATGAATGCCCATATGCTTCCAGGATGGCCTGTGGGACTACCCCACCCTTGGAGACTTAACCCCTGGGTCATAACTTTGAAATGGTTGAGATCCCCACCCAAAAACTATATATATACAAAAGCTGGGCAAAAATAATTGATCCTGGGGTCTGGCCACAACCCTAGGGACCTAGTTTCTGAGTCACAGCTTGGAAACAGTTGAGATCCCCACCCCATAGCCATACATAAAATTGCTTGGCATGAGAAATCTTATACAGATATGCTACAAGGAGTGGCCTAGGGGTCTGGCCGTATCCCTTGAATCTCATTTGGAGCATATTTTGCAATGATTGCTTAGAAATCCAGGTGAGCGATTCAGGCCCTCTGGGCCTCTTGTTCTAGAGTTAACATAAAGATTCCAGAACACACACAAGATGCTGGTCAGTTAACATAGGATGAGGAGTAAGGACATTACCCATGTACCTCGTTTAGGCAAAACAAACAAAATAAGTGTGTTTCCTGTAACAATTTTGAACAATTTTGGGTAATTTATTGCTAATAGTAAATTTATAATGGAATATATAGGACAGTGAACTCGACTTGACACTGCTTTTTGAGTCGCCTGCAACGCGAGACGACATATAGGTATTACTTTGTCGGCGTCGGTGTTGTCGGTTGCGACATCCCAAACAAGGTTTCCTTGCAATAACTTGCAATGACTTGTTCCCTGGAGTTGATTGAACTCAAACCTGGTACACATATTGCATACCAATACAGCTCGGAAGAGTTCGCATTTCAGAAGTTTACATGCATTTTTAGTGTTATGGGGAGTTATGCCCCTCCTATTGCCAAATAAGGGCATTGTGTAGTAAATGCAAGAACTTCATTGTTTTTCCATAAATTCCTTGCAAATATTGTACAGTAATGCTAAAAGCAATAATGTTCAACATATATTATAGGGGTTTCTGTTGAATTTCAACTTTGTGCTTTTTGACAAAGCAACGCTGTTCATCGTTTTTGCCGTTTATATTTTTGCCCGTTTACGCGATAACTCAGCCAAAACACTTATTAAAAGCGCTGAGCAGGCGACACATCCACTTATTTGGAATTCTTGTAATTGACTAATACAGTTTAGGATGGGCATACAAACTTAGGGTAGATGAGGTACGTTACCGGAAACACCAAATATTTCTTAATTGGCCTTACACATTACTTGTAATTTTCATAATTCTTTTTTTTTCTATCATTTTTACAGCAGCCAAAGATTAACAACACTGTTGCTTATCAAACATTGTTTCATTTTGCAACTGTAGATTAAATGCTTTCAGAGTGAAACAATTTAGTCAACCAGTAGGAAGATGTAAAACAATGCTTCAGAGGGAAAACTAATGTTTATTTACATAGAAAATAAATTATATTATAATCATATGATATATCTAAAAGTTGTTTTTCATTTTCAGCTCTCTTTGTAACTTTAATTAATATTGATTATCATTCATGAAACTTAAAGTGATAAATGAACCTGTTGTTTAAGTGTCCATGTACTTAAATGTTGACTAACATGCCAAAATAGGATCATGATGAGTAGTGACAAATAATTTATTTTTCAACATCTCTGAGGTCCTGGACATATTCAACATGAATCAGTAACACGATTAATCTGTTCATTGAGAAAGTTTTTCTCCTACCTCGGTATAAAAAAAATACTGTGCACATGTCCCAATCTCACCTCAAGGGGGTGGATGATTTCTTACCCTGTTCATCCATTGTGTATCAATGAAATGTTAACGTCACAGGCTAAATGCATTGTTGACATGATGTTGAGGCATTGTCGACGTGACGTCGTACCATCATTATGAAAAGGGGAAACCCTAGTGTGAGACGAGGGTATCTCACAGAGAAAAATGTGGATACACCTGTCCACCCATCTAAACCCTAGTATGAGATCAGGATATCTCACATCGGAAAAAGTGTGGATACACCTGTCCAGGGTAAGATAATCCCCCGTCTAAACCCTAGTATGAGACCAGGATATCTCGCACCGGGAACAGTGTGGATACACCTGTCCAGGGTAAGAGAATCCCCCGTCTAAACTAGTATGAGATCAGGATATCTCACATGGAAAAGTGTGGATACACCTGTCCAGGGTAAGATAATCCCCCGCCTAAACCCTAGTATGAGATCAGGATATCTCACATCGGAAAAAGTGTGGATACACCTGTCCAGGGTAAGATAATCCCCCGCCTAAACCCTAGTATGAGATCAGGATATCTCGCATCGGAAAAAGTGTGGATACCCCTGTCCAGGGTAAGATAATCCCCTGTCTAATCCCTAGTAGAGATATGGATATCTCGCATCGGGGAAAGTGGGAATACACCTGTCCAGGGAAAGATAATCCCCCGCCTAAACCCTAGTATGAGATCAGGATATCTCACATCGGAAAAAGTATGGATACACCTGTCCAGGGTAAGATAATCCCCCGTCTAAACCCTAGTAGAGATATGGAGATCTCGCACCGGGAAAAGTGTGGATACACCTGTCAAGGGTAATATAATCCCCTGTCTAAACCCTAGTAGAGATATGGATATCTCGCACGGGGGAAAAGTGTGGATACACCTGTCCAGGGTAAGATAATCCCCCGTCTAAACCCTAGGAGAGATATGGATATCTCGCACCGGGAAAAGTGTGGATACTCCTGTCCAGGGTAAGATAATCCCCCGTCTAAACCCTAGTATGAGACCAGGATATCTTGACCGGGAACAGTGTGGATACACCTGTCCAGGGTAAGATAATCCCCCGTCTAAACCCTAGTAGAGATATGGATATCTCGCATCGGGAAAAGTGTGAATACACCTGTCCAGGGTAAGATAATCCCCCATCTAAACCCTAGTAGAGATATGGATATCTCGCACCGGGAAAAGTGTGGATACACCTGTCCAGGGTAAGATAATCCCCCGTCTAAACCCTAGTAGAGATATGGATATCTCACAAGGGGGAAAAGTGTGAATACACCTGTCCAGGGTAAGATAATCCCCCGTCTAAACCCTAGTAGAGATATGGATATCTCACACGGGGGAAAAGTGTGGATACACCTGTCCAGGGTAAGAGAATCCCCTGTCTAAACCCTAGTATGAGATGAGGATATCTAACACTGGGAAAAGTGTGGATACCTTGGTTCGAACAGGCCTTGAAAAACCCTTGAAAATCACTGGGAGTCCTTGA